TTTGATGGATAACTGGGTCGGAAACGCATACGTTAACTCGGAGATATAGCACACCTCGGTTGTGTTGCTGCGTTATCAAAAATGTTATCCTGAACTGTAAGTTGCCATAACGTGTGGCCGTTAGAAATAGCATATATGATACAGCACAGGGCTGATTAGGATCACTAGGGCACACTTAAGTATGATATATGTAATACTAAGAGTACGAAAAATTAGTTTTAAAAATGTTGCGTTAAGTAATCATTTTAAAGGATTCAATGGTCAATTGACAAATTGTTAGCATAGCTATACATTACAAATACAACATTTCTGAAAAGCGTTTTACACTTAGTCCAATTGTATATTTGAAGAAATTCTATAATTTCTTGCCAAATTATAACGGCAGCCGTGCAGCCAGACAGATTTAAAACTTTTTTTTTTCTCTTAGTTGCCTCTGGGAGCTCAGGCGGCAGAGCAGCTGTTGTCAAAATGGTTCTATTTGGATCTACCCTTGATGTTGTCGAAATTTCCACAATCGTTTTTAATATATATTTTTTACTTCAGAACTTATTTTCCGTTGTTCGTTTCTGAAATGCCACCCTGCACAGATAATGTACACGGTTTATACAGGGTAATAGAAAATTGGCGTCCGTCCTTTTAAAGGGTTATAGGAGAAATATACGAAAACAATATAGAAAATTAAAAAAATACATATTAACAGATGAAAATAAAATTTCAACTTTGTTATTAAGAATTACTATAAATGGTTTCATATTTGATTGATAGCTTATTGAAATACTTAAGCATTCGAAAAGAAAAATTACCATATTTACTTCATGTGATGTAAAAAAGACTATTCTACAATTTTTTCATAAAAATTCAACGCGGCAACGATAATTTTAAGACATATGGTTACAAGTAGATATTTTTTGTCAAGAATAACAAGCATTTGTCTGGAACTAGAGACATTGGAGGATTGGCTCCATGAATTTATGGCAGATAGTGGACGGCCAAGATGTGTTCAGGTTTCAGGCATAGAGGAGCCCGTATTGGCGATAATTGCAGCTGAGCCTTGCAAAAGTGCTCGGCGCATTGTGCAACAACTAACTTTCCCAGGTAACTATGCACCGGATAATTAACGAGAAGGCCCTACAACCGGCATCACCGCAAGTCAAGACCCAACGGCTCTAACGTTACGAGTATGCCGAGCCGGTAAGATACGACAGAACTAGAGGCTCTCACTCACTCTCACAGCAAAATGGTCCTCATGACGACTGAGAAGTCGAGACTTGACTTGCGGTGGTGCCGCTACAACCCTGCAATGTATGTAAGATACACAGAACACATTAACTATCTGGTCTACCAAACACCGGTACATATTGAGCACGAATTAATTAACCGTATTCTTCTGTAACAGTATTCTTCCAGCTCAGCGTTTAGTACCTGTTGCAAACGCAACAATGCACGCTCTCCTGATTTAGTTTACCCCAACCCCAGAATGCGAAAGGGATGTCAACAAAAAACATCACCTAAGAAAGCCTCTTTTTTGCCGCACCAAGCAAACCTATTCTGATGTATTAGCATTTTTACATTATTCAGTAGCACCGCATTGCCACTCCAGGAAGCACAACATAAGAACCACTTACTTCACGTAACAGAAGTTACTGTCCCTCCTATAGGAGTTGTATTGACTGTGACAATTTAGCAATTCAGATTTGTTATTGAGCTGTATAAATTAATGTTAAGTTCGTTTTTATTAATGTATAAAATCCCGTACTCTTTGTTCACCCTGAAGTCGCCAGCCCCTCTCACTCAATGTAGTAAGTCTCTTGAAGACTACTCTTATATTCTCCGAATCATCCCGGAATGGCCTTATTAATTATTAATATACCTTGCACATGAATTAAGACTCCCATGTGTGTCACTGGCAGAGGTGGTCGGCTGCATATCAGAAACTATTGCGTACAGATTTCAGTCAAAAAAGTATTATCGCTAAAGTTTCACAAAACTGTACCAAAAAATGTTAAATGCAAATTTTATCGGTTTTGGTACCATTGTCGTAGTTTAAAACCAACATAAAATAACATGGTTTGCACTTTATTGTCAGTGTGCCAATTAAAACGTTTTTTAATGTTTTTGTCAGGCGAACAAATTGAGATAATAAACCGGTGGTAGAGGTATCGATCGGTTAAAAAATATGAGTGCCTCCTCAGTAATACAGCAAAAAGCTTTATTCGGAGTGCACAGTCCTGAAAATGTGAGGTCAAAATAACGAATATAAGTATTTTAAACCCAAAGCATAAATTGAAGATATTTTTATGAACTTGAAAATAAGACCTTGTGTCGTTTATGCAATGATCAGACTAATTAAAGTATAAAAGACGCCACCGCAGAAACAAGAATTCAGTCAATAGATGTTAGTCATTAGATGCATTCAATAGATACAGTCTCGATTGTAATACAAAGGTTGTGTTTAATTTAATTTTTTTTTAAACAGCAGTTTTAAATTAATCAAGAAAATTCTAGCTAAAACAAGTAATAGCAGGAAATAACAGTGGCGTCAGCTTCGGTCGATTTTCAAAAAAGGGTAAATAACTCGAAAACCATGGTATTTTCAATAATGCTATTTTTTCAGTTTCTGACCGATGGGTGCCTTCCATCGGCGGAAGAATTGTTGAAAGTGTACAGGACGCCTTGTATAACAAGTGGCTGTTTTTTGGTAGCGAAAAAACTCCATTCCAAAAGTCGATCAAGTGTGTCGTTTTTCTCCGAGTTCATAAATGTATTTCCAATTTAAGAACTGTAGAGCTAAATTGATTGTTATCAATAACGAATCAATGAATTGCATTCGGCAAAGTGTCAGTCGCATTACTAGCAATTAGTCTTCATTATTTCCAAATTTGTAGCTTAGAGAACGGCGAAATTGTGCTTTAGGCACCAAACAATGTTGAGCGCGATGTCATTGACAAACCACCAACTAATTAACTTTTTTACCTTGTCAGAAAATTTACCGTTTTACCTTGTTAGATTTTAGATTTACTTTCAAAATGTCTATGAAGACTGCTTACAAAGAACTTTGAATTGAAGGAACAGTAAAGTGGTTTTTAAAATTTGCAGAGTTACTTTTTAACAAGAAAGGCCCCGTTTCCACGTTCACTTATATTCTTTTGTTTCGGCACGAACAAAGAAAATCTAGTTAGTGGAAATATGAACGTTGCTCTTATTTTCTAGCTCAAAGTTGATTACATTCTTAGCCATATTACGAAAGCATTAAATTAGTTATTACAGCTAATAATCAGCGGTATTAATGGTTGTTGGTGAAAATATTGTAAAACTTGTCTGTTCAGTACTGCTTTGCGACTTTTTAGTGTTTTTTCCGTATTTTCTATACTCCTAGAACTAAAGTTCGGAAACGTGGACATTAGAGCTGGACTGACAAGCCGACAGAATTGAATAACATCAATATTTTAGTAATAATTTCACCAATACATAGTTTTTCTT